AACAAGGCATGAAGTATGTAGTGGAAGAGAAAAACTACCAGGTCGCTAGAAACCACACCTTGGAGACGGAAAAACAAAAGATGGAGTTGAAATTGAAACAGGTGATGAAGCACAACACTTACCAGACCTGTAAAATCAAAGCCATGGAGAAGGAAGTCCAAAAGTTGGTGGACCAGTTGGAAAAGCAGGGAGAAAAGATCTCGATGGAGACCAAACTAAAAGAGGTGTCTCAGGAAAAGGACGACCTGGCCAAGAAGAACCTGAGCTGTGAGACTGAGCTCAAACAGGTGGAGGACAAACTAAAACAGGTGGAGGAGGAGAACGAGCATCTGGCAAAGAACAACAAAAGCTGGGAGACGGATGTCAAACAGCTGAAAGACCAGATGAGAGAGAAGGAGGACAAGTTCTCCAAAGACCTGGCAGAAGAACACCTGAGCTGCGAAACCAAGGTTAATTTCATGAAAACCACATTTCAAGAGGAAGAGAAGAAGAAGGACAACCTGGTTCTGAAAATGCTGATCGGGGAGACAGTGGTTAAGGCAAAATTTGAAAAGGCCAAGGAATCCATATATATCCTGATCCAGGAAAACAAGAGCTGGGAGATCGATTTCAAACAGAAGGACATGAAAGTCCAGCAGCTGCAGAACGACCTGGATGAGCAAGAGAAAAAGTTCTCTGAAGATTTGGCCGAAAAACACCAGAGCTGGGCGACTCAGCTAAAACAGGTGGAGGCTAAATGCAAACAGGTGCAGAAGCAAAAGAATCATTTGGCCAAGTTAAAAAAAAGCTGGGAGACGGATGTCAAGCAGCTTGAAGACCAGATGAGAGAGAAGGAGGAAAAGTTCTCAGAAGACCTGACCCAGAAAGACCAGCGCTGGGAAACCAGGGTTATTTTGATGGAGATACGATTGAAAAAGGCGAAGGAGAGCTGTGAGGCTAAAGAGAAGAAGATGGACGACGAAAAGACACTTCTGGAGGACCTGTGTCTTCACATGAAGAATAAGAGCAGAGGATTCTTCGCTCGCAGGAGGGCGACTGAGGAAAGGGACGCCATTTTGCAGAAAATGCTACGCAAGATGCAAGAGAAGGAGATGAGAAAGAAAGCAAAGGGGGAGAAAGAGGAGAAGGAGGAGGCTGGACGTCAGTAGCTGCCTTTTCCTCTCTTCTTTCTCTTCTCAATTTCCCCTCACCTCCTTCCTCCTACCTCACCCCTTACTGCCTTCCCCTTTTCATACTCAGGGTTTTCTCCTGGAGCTCAGGTTTTCCCACAATCTGTATAATAGATGTAAAAAAACTCACTATTAAGTCCCTCCCCCATTTACTGTACCTACTTCCTGCTACCTCACCCTCTCTCACCTTACTCCATCCTTTATTTACCTACTTCCTCCATACTCTCCCCTCACTTCACCCCAAACTCTCTCCTCCATTTCCCTCACCTCTTTCTTCCTACATCACCCCCTCCCTTCCTTCACATTTTCATATTTAGTGTTTTTTAGTTGTGTTTAGACTTGATTTTAAAATAAAATGTTAATTAAATGTATTATTTGTATGCCTCACTGTGTAAACATATACAGTATATATTCATTACTTTATGACATTTAGGTTACTAAAGTACCGGTATCTGTTCTATTTGTGATTTAAACAACTTTGAATTTAATAAATGCAACAACAATAGAATATCTTTGTACAGATTGTTTTTGGTGTTTCTACTTTTGGGTTCAATTACATTGTTTTGTTTTTGTTGTTTTTCAAAAATGTGAGGATTTCATAAGAGCTGTTAAAGTATATTCAAAGCTCAGGGTTTAAATGTAAACGTTATTTAATGTATATATGAATTAAATCTTGTTGGGTTGGCGCAATGTGCTGCTGCTGGTCTCTCTATAATGAGGTGAAGTTTCTGCTTTATGCTGATGATGGTGTTCTCTACTGTCTCAAACTGAAAAAATACAACAACAGCTGCACATAGTACAAAAGTACTGGCAGTAAATATGAAGAAAACTGAGGCCATGAACATTCATATTTAGGGTTTTCTCCTGGAGCTCAAGTTCGCCTGCAACTCATTCGCGGCATATCACATCATAATGTATCATATATCTCCTTATCTGAGTCAGCTGAGTCGTATCTGGCCGTGCAACACTCACAGTGTCACATAGTGCTGGGGGGAAACGATTATTTTGAAAACGATTATTTTGAAAACGATTAATCGGGCGATTATTTGATCGATTAGTCGACATAACGATTATTTTTCTGTTGTTCAATTCATAAAAAACGTAATGTAAAAAAAACGTAATGTAAAAAAAATGTTTCACGATACTGTGTCTTAATATTAAGAACCTATTAATGTGTTATACCAGATTAACGGAAATAATCTCAGCTAACTGACGATACAAACCATGTTTACCAAAACAAAACACAAGTCTCATAAGAAGCATCTAAATGACCCCTGAGCGAAAAATGCTAACGGACATTGGCACAGAACTCAAGATAAAAGTACCCTTATTACTTATCGTAGCTGCACATACAATATATCCGATTAAAGCTGAGACTCCACAGATTATGTAGGTATATAGTATTATCACTGAGTGATCCGGACTCGCGACAGGGGAAGCAAATACAGTCATCACAACACGTACCTTTACAGAGCTTCTAGGGAGATCGTCTCACCACCGTAGCTGTCAATCTGATCAAAAGACGTGTTCAATGGCATTAAAATGAGAAAAAACACGGCTGAATCGGTTAATCCATAGGTTTTTAACGTCTATGTATAAAAAATGATTGAATTTATAATCCATAATTCCATTTTTATGTAAAAATCAGAGAGCAAATGCTAGCTGCTAATGGTAGCCACCACAGCTAGCTGCTGCTTCCGGCCTAGGCTATGCAGCAGTCTCAGTGAGATATAAATATATAAATATCTTTGCGTTTTGGACAAACTTTAAAATATTCCCATGCTTTTGAAGACCTAGGGCGAGATGTTTTCGTTTGGGGGCTTCGTGCGCAATCCTGTGAGGAGGAGGTGGTAGCCGTTTCAGTCTCCATTGTGTTTGAAGTGCGATTGCGAACTGCTTGTTGCTTTGGGTGACCCACGTGTGTGTAGCGACCATAGACTGTATATATAAAGGTAGCGACGCGTCGACGCGGAAATATGTTGTCGACGATATTTTGAAGTCGACTTTGTCGATGCGTCGCTACAGCACTAGTGTCACATACTGTATGCAGAAGGATTATTTTAAGCAACACATTAAGTTGACGAAACACTCGAGACAAATGTAATTAAAGTCAGATCCACTCGTCTCTTAGACGGGGCAGTGATATCATAAACCTGTTAATGTATGCATTCAAACACTTTTTCTTTTGCCAGCTGTATTCACCTTGCAGGTGCAGCTATGTGGCTTTGATCCTGGATAAAGTCATGGATGTTTAAAGTTTAACGTCTTCATATTTGTCTAATATTATAGTTGACTTTTCATTCAGTAACTATGACGCTGAGCTGTCAGTACGCTTCTCCATGTTTGTGATTGGTCGAATGCTCCAAATACCACCCCTTTCATGTGAACGCGCACCTAACTAGATAGGACACGGCTGGCTTGAGCGATCCACTTGATAACCCACGTCGTAGTACAGTTTAGCGAGAGCGCGTATGTTTTGGATTAGGCCAACCGGCTAACTCAAACATATCCAGGTTAGGTTGAACCAGCTTCGTAGTACAGGCCTCAGGTTAGACTACATTACATTTCATTTAGTTTACGTTTTTTTTAAAGACTACATATAAGAAACACCCTTATAGCCATTTCAACAAACAAAACATTATCACTTTTGTGAAGGAGGCTTTATCGCAGAATGTTTGGCTATTGCCTCTCACTTTCTGAATCACTTTTGCCTAATAAATCAGAAAATGTGTTTATCCCTGCAATGTTTGCAGTATGTAAATGTTATGAATAAACATTCAGAAATTGTCAGACTAATACCAGTTTTCAATTAGTTAAAGATCAAGTTTAAGTTAGTCAAGTAAATCACACAAAACATTTGAATACTCACCATTTACTACAGAGCCTTTGGAAGAATGTTCAAAGCAAGGCTGAGGTCAATCTTCTCCACACCAATTACCTATCACAGAAAAACATATTTGAAATGATTTCATTATTCACACACAAATAAAACAAAAATGTTCTGCTCCTTAAAGGCGACATTTACCATTTAATGATGTACCTTTAGGTTAACATGAACCGACTTCGGCCGAGATGGGTGCCTCCAGTGTAAAAATCTACAGTAGCCTACACTAATGCAATGAGTACAACTTTGTACGGAGCCATACACATCAGCGTTGCGAGCTCATTTCCATTGGTTTCAATGGAGACGTGCACTGCAGCAGCGCGCACCGCTCGTCATGTGACGAGGAACAACCAATCACAACCGAGAAACATCTCAACTTCCGTAAACACAAGTGTACGGCAAATATGGAAGATAAGTTCATTTCACAGCGGGTGGATCGTAACCCTTACTTGAAGATCTGTCCGGCATGTCCCCATATTCATGGTATGTGCACCGCTGCTAAAATGTAACACAATCATTAATATCCTCCACTTTCCGGGGGACACACCCACACACAATATAGAGAGGCGAAGTCCCTCCCCTTCCGGGAGCCTCCATGGGACCCCGGAAGCGGAACATTATACATTGAAGTCAATGGAGAGAGAAAGGTTATCTTTTGATCCCGTTTGAATTGTGCCACGAATGACACATATGATGTTTGTCAATTTAAAAGAACATTTTACAAGTCAAAAAAATGTAAATGTGTCGTAAAACTGTGAAGTTACACATTTGTTTGTGAGAAACCGCTCAGTGAACTACAGGTCTCTGGTCTCGCACAAAACGCGTCACCATCACAAAGATGGCCGTCACGTTAGCAAATTTCACCTGTTTCTTTCAGACTGAGACGAAAAGTATAAAACGAGGTGAACATCACTACAAGTCTGGGCATGTTGAGAGCTGTACATACACGAAAGGGGAGTTAGTCGGTTCTGTAACAGCAGCGGGACCGGCTTTACAAGGTTTCGGTGAGTAATATGAGTGCAATGTGTAACGTTAATGTCAGCTAGCTAACATTAGCTAACAAGGTACACTAACGTGTTTTGTTTTAGTAACTAGTTTTCTCCTTAAGAAATGCGTGGTCTCTGTGTATGCTGTGGATAACATTAGTGTTCACAAGAACAAGGTACACTCCCGTGTTTTGTTTTAGTTGCTCTTCAGATTGAAGCGGCCAGTTTTATATCGACTATACTGTATGTGTGATCTCCTTTTTCTCGTTGTGTCATTTGACTTTATTTGCTGTGTGTAGATTCAAGGATTTTGGTTATCTAGGCACAGCTGTGTGTGACTCCCTCTGGTACACTGGTATGTGTTTTCCTAATGTAGAGAGCATTGATTAATTAATAAACTACACACTGAGTCTAGATCCTGACCAAATCCTTTTTTATTGTTGATCAAATGTTTTTCAAAAATGTATTCATACACATTTAGAAAAATACAATGTACAATCACAACCAATACAGCACAAATTACAAAAAATACAGAAAAAACAAACAATAACAACAATTAGACAAGAGGACAAAACTATGGAAAAATAAACCCTTCCACCTCCAGATCCGGACCATCCTTGTATTATTGCTCATTCAATCTATTATAGCATGCTAACAAATGGTACTTACTTTATTTTTACAGATCTGCATGGGAGACGATGGCGCGATGCAGAGCGCTGTCTGTGATTGTGCACAGGGGATGTACAAATGCAGCCACGCTGCAGCATTGGCAATATTTGCCATGTGGCAGATCAGCTCCACAGATGTTGAGTGCCAGTGGAGGAAGCCTGGCACTTAAAAAGTAGTCCAGCCGGTGTCTCAACTTTACCAACAGCGAGAGGAGACATACAACCCACTGGCCAGAGACATCGCCAACTGTCAACTGGGGGGTTGTAAACGAGGCCGAAGGGGTGAAGGCTTTTGTGGAGGCCTATCGGGTGACAGTGTTCGAATCGAGTCTGGTCTCTTTGTGAGTGAGTCCGGTGTTTTGGGAGGATCACCCGATGGACTTGTGCAGCCATCTGCCCTGCTGGAGGTGAAGTGTCCACACAGCCAGAGGAACATGACCATCGCGGAGGCAGTCAAGTTACCATCCTTCTGTCTTCGTGAGGAGGGTGGGTCATACATTCTCAAGGAGAATCACCCATACTGGCACCAGGTCCAAGGGCAGCTGCACATCACAGACCGGAGTCTCTGCTACTTTGTTGTGTGGACCACGAAGGAGGCGATCATCATCCCCATCCCCAAAGACCCTGCATGGCATGGAAATCTCCTCCTCCTGGAAAAATTCTACACCCAGCATATGCTCCCTGTGTTGGCCAGTAGAGAGGAGGACATTTCAATAAACATACTCTTAACACCCTCGGACTCTGCGTTGTGTTTCGTATGTGTGATGGGGTGTTATGCAGGGGGGAGGAAAACAGGACACAGCAGATTGGGATTGTGGTGGAGATGCTGAGCAGTTATTTAATTGTTGCATGTAATTATTATTATACTGCGTGCTTCTTAGTTATTCCATATTTTGCTGTAACATGGATCTGTATGTAACTCTATATTTACTTGTTATCTACCACACTTCCTTCTACATCATACACCATCATTATACATGATGGTGTATATAGGATATATATATTTGTATACATATCTGTAAATTGTATAATTAAATGTTTCATATTTGGGATTGTTGGAAACGTCTTTTTGATCTCTCTCGTCTATAAACACAAACTGAGTAAGATTGACAATAAAGTTGACTTTGAAACATAGATATATTCTTTATGAAAATAGTTGACTGTTGTCAAATGAATCAAAATGAAACGTTGGACTGAACTACAACTACGCCTTTAAATCTCTACGGACTGTTTTTCAGTGGGATGGCAAGTTCCTATCTTTAAACATTTATTATTTTTTTCTCAGAACAAATTTGATTTTCTGAAGTTAATTTAACTTTGCCGACCATGTAAGGTCATTATTAAAAGGTACAATCAATTTGTTTAGGGTTGACTAAAATAATGAAAAACATTCATTTGGATAATTTACTGACAGAATAAGAAACTCAATGATGCTCTACTCACCTGTTCCCTTTTCATAAAGTGAAACAGTTGAAACGATAGATTTGAGTAAACTTAAAAACAACCTTCTCCAAACGCTATCAAGGAATATACCGAATACTTGTTTTAGAACTTTATTACATATTTTTATATAGTTTGAATGATCCATAATTGACAGAAGCTTGTGTTTACACTGACCTGTTACTCATATATGAATGTCTTTGTAACTTCAGTAAACCACTACCTCACTCATTTATTTCATTCATCACGGTTCAGTAAACTAAGTGATACATAAACCAGTTTAATCATTATAATAACGTAGGATTGCAACTCTTTGAAACTGTAGGTGGCTCTTAAAAGAGCCGTTGTGTTTGGGTGTGCTGGTCTCAGGTCAGTCTAAGCCCTCTCTCCGCGGATGCGGCGGGCCAGCTGGATGTCCTTGGGCATGATGGTGACCCTCTTTGCTTGGTTCATCTTACTGGGGGGCAGCTACATGGATGTCGGTGCAGTCCACAATCATTGTGCAATTGAAGGCAGAATGAATTTATTATTGACTCCGAATGAAGCACAACTTCATGTCATAAAATACATTGACCTTATTTGTAATTGTGTAAAAACATATGAGCATTGATTAGCAAGCAGGACCTGCAGGAACAGAGAATGGTGATGGATGGAGCTGGGAAGAGAGAAGAATAAAGAAAACAGATCAACTTTATTATCGGATATTAAAAATTATATTTCAAAACAAGTTGCCGCTCCTACAGTTTTCTAGTATGTAAAGATGATTTCACATGACCTATGCAAAATATCACACTCAATACATGTGTGTCTCTGGGGGGTGCATTGTGCTTTTGATGTATATAAATAATATACCATAACCAAATACTATTACGTACAGTGGAAATCAGGTTGCCAGAGCAGGTCAGTGTGCATGTTCCTCAACGTCTCAGCAGTTACAGGTGAGGTAAAGAAAATAAAACAGAAAAAGGTCAGTAACAACACTTTAAAGTAACAACACTTTGAATAATTATCTCTTCTAACAATTTTCTCTCAATAAGCACACAACGACTGTCTTTCCAACAAACAGATTGACTCACCCTCGCTGTCATCACAATGAAACACGTCCAGAAGAATGTCATGCAAAGCTCCCTGCCTGCCTTCGACTCTCCCTGAACTGCTTGCTTAGCACCCGGTGGAGGGCGCAGTAGGCTACTCTTCAAATGTTTCACGAAATACTTACCATCATGTTTGGTTACTGTTTAACATTTTGGTTTACTTCATGTAATAAAATAATAACTTCATGGTAAGGCTACTAAAAATGACAAGGCTAAGTAATGTAATGCTAACTAACGTGCTCGCTACTCGTCGCTACTAGCTAGGTAGCTAACTTGACTATGTTCCATGCACAACATGTATATTACCTATGATATTACCTGATATGTCTGATCCAGCGACTCCTGGTCCTTTCATCAGACGGGAAGATAGAACGAGCAAGTGGTATGATGACTTTTGTGATTACAACCTGGTACAAAGCACACAGGCATCTTGCAAAAGTGAACCAACCACTTGGAGCATTATCGCCTGTGACATCACTTACGCGACCCAGAATGGGATTTGTAGTCTTTGTAGTCACGTATTTTTCATAGTCTTATATTTCAACAGTTTTACGACAAAATGTGACTTTTTTGACATGGAAATGATTGTTTAAGATTGACAAACATCATATGTGTAGTTCGTGGCACAATTCAAACGGGATCAAAAGATACGTTTTCTCTCTCCATTGAATTCAATGTATAATTTTTCGCTTCCGGGGTCCCATGGACCGGAAGTAGATGGGCGTGACTTCGCCTCTCTATTGTCTCTGTTTTGATCTGTGTGTATTTACGGTATTTACATGGACACAGAGCGGATCAAAGCAGAGACATAAACACCGTTTTTTAGGGAAAACACTGCGGTCCCACAGACAATACTGTATCTTTAACAATCAACACCTTAAATGGGTAAAGATGGTCGCTTAACGTAAGGTAGGCCTACAACCTGCATCAGCGCCCTTAAAAGTCGGCACAAGAGCAGAGCCGGACCGACGCAGTAAAGTTCTACACCGCCTGACAGCAGACATGAAACAATCATTTAAAACAAGACGTAGGCTAGCCTATAGACATGCAAACATGCCGCAAGCTCATCCATCATCTATGACTCCCCCCTCCCCACTGAACTCGGTTTAATGTGCATAACGTTGGGCAAGGTTCATAGTTTTAAATATTGTAAATCAAGCAACTGCCGGACTTACGCTCTACAAATACTCACAGTATAAAAACACGCTAAACACAAGTCAATCAATATAAACTCACCTTATGATTTTCATGGCTTTATCCTAGCTAACACCAGTGAATGACAATGTTTACAAATTGACAGCTGTATTTACGTTGCTCGTTGTAACGGCAAATGTGAACTCTGCTTTTTGCAAACAATGCGTCTTGTGATAACCTATGACCTATGACGAACGTTTGATGACATTAAATAACTTTAAATAACTTTTACCTTGTAGAGATGTTCTCGGGACAGAACCAGCTTACTCCTCCGATGCGGGAAGAAAAGATGGTAGAACCCCTCCCCCCTCCTTTGTTTAAAAAATAAAAAGCTTCACATTTTAAAAAATAAATATATTTTGCAATTTTTTTCTGCTTTACATCTTGTCCATTAAAGTGCCATATTGTTCAGGTTCAATTACGAAACTATTAAAGTACGGGTTTGAGTCCGACCATGTTAATTTGTGAATAAAATATTTGTAAATAATAATTAGAAGCTGAGTAATCGGCTGCAGAGCAAGCTGCTGACGTATGTGCTCAGTGGGCGGAGTTACAGAGATAAACATAACTTTTTTCTTATTTCTTAACATGATTGAGACTTATAGAACGTACAGCCCTCAAG